TTTTTTTTTCCCCCCCGCCCCCCCCCCCCGCACAATAAAAAACCAAGAAAAGCTCTGATTCGGGGTCATTTCCCAGGAATTCCTTCTCTCTTGAAGAAGTCCTCTCCTGGGATTTAACCCCTTTGGGCCTCTCACTGCTCTGGAAAAATGGGCTTTGTGTAATCCTTTGCATCTCCATCTCCATCACCCTGAGGGAGAGGTGACAAGTTTGAAGTCGTGCTCCTTTGTTTTTTCTGTATGGCTTTTGGGAGTCCAGACCCTCTTTTTTTGGGGGGGGGTAGCTGGCTGGTATGGGGATCTGAACCCTTGACCTTGGTATATTATAACACCATGCTCTAACCAACTGGGCTAGCCAGCCAGCCTGCCAGATTTTTTTTTTGTTTAGTCATCTTGCCAGATCTATTTTTATGCTTCAGCTAGTTGCGTGGCCAGACGTTCTGCTTATGTGGCCTGTTTTCTTTTCCCCATCTACTTTATTTCTGCTTCTTTATTGGTGAGAAACTGATAACTTGCCCTTTCTTCAATTCTCTAGGAACTCTGATCCCATAGTTAGACAATAAAATAGAGATATTGGGTGTGGGCAGAGTTGTAAAGATAAGCTGTGGATGGCTCAAGTCCAGTAGTAGGATCTTCTTGACAAATGATAATGATAGCTAACATTTACTGAATTCTTGTAATAATCAGAGTAATTTAATAAGCACCATGCTAGGTAGTTTACATGTTCTCTATCATTTAATCCTTCCAACAGCTTCGAGACAGGAACTATTACTCTACCAACTCTACCAACTAGAAACTGTCAGGGCCGGGCCCTGAGCCAGCACAGCCTGAGTGGAAACCTGTCTGCTGAGCTGCCTCCTCCATTCTTACTAGACAAGCCCCGCAACTTGGTTTCCTAGCCTGCCAAAGCAAGGTCTGCGATGCTGCCTGGGGATGGGGAACAAGGCTGGGTAACAACCCTTCCATTCATTCAGTGAATGCTTGTCAAGTGAGCACTCCAGTGGCAAGTTTTTAAGAACACAAATGCCAAAAATGATGTTTATTTTCCCTCCCAGATCTCTGACTTCCCAAGATCGTCACTGCTAGCCTTCTCTGGTGACTCTCAGAGAGCCAAGGAATTTTTGTTTCTCTTATAAGAGGCCTGCACGGGCATGAGGTGAAGATTTGGACTGTTTTCTGATGGGTGAAAGTCTCTCTAATTGTACTGCACAGCATACAAATTATGAACCAAATAATCAGATTTGGCTGGATTATATTTTCTCCTGGGATATTAGATACATTCCACTGAGTCCACAGAAGGGAAGGTGAAGATCAAGACACCATGACAAATGCTAGTTACCTGGTAAGTACAGATATTTTCCATTATCTACATAGCTAGAGCTTTATATATACCTAATATCCTTTTCTACTAAAATTAACCAAAATGTACACATTCCAGGAAATTGAGGGTTCCTTAGTGGTTTTATATATTTTTATTATCCTATTCTTTCTTTGTATATTCCCATAGATACCTGTTTCTTGCAACAGGATGTGTTAAAAGTGACATTATCTTTTTTTCTTTTGTCTTTTTTCCGTGTCCGGCAACGGATCGCAACCCTCAGTGTTGCCCCCGTACCGGACCAGGGACCGGCAACGGGATTGCAACCCTCGGTGTTGCTCCCGCGCCTCGCTCAGCCAGTGAGCAGGAACTGGTCCCGTATGTGGGATCCGAACCCTCGGGCGGGAGCGCCGCCACGCTTCCCAAGTGGCGCAATATCCAGTGCGCCACTGGGCCGGCCGAGTGACATTATCTTTTGGCTTTTGTTAAAATGCCCTCTTAGTTGGTCGCATTAATTCATTCAGCAAACACGGAGCACTTACTACATGCTAGCTGGCAGTGCAAAAAATGTGTAAGACCAGGTTCTTGCCCTTGGCCTCCTATCGTGTTGAGACCACTGATGTCTCAGTAAGTAGATTACAAAGCATCGGAGATGGTCTAGAAGAGCTAGGTATTAAATGTGGTGGGAAAAACAGAGGAAGGATGGCCCTACTGCAGGGCTAGCTAGGGGGCCCATCAGAGAAGGCTTCGTGGTAGAGATGACCATTTTGGGCTGGACTTAGAAGGGTGAGAAGGAGTCAAGCAAGGAAATATGGGGGACAAACATTCTAAGCAGAAAGAATAGTGTTTCATAGGTACCATGATAGGAAACTGCCTGGCTTGTTCAAGAAAAGGCAAGAACAGAAGTTTGGTATGGCTGGAGCAGAGAGAATATCATAGAGACTGGTAGGATATGAGTGTGGGGAGAGCCTGTGGCCTGACTGGGAAGAGCCTTGAATGCAGAATTAAGGAATTCAGACTTTGTTCTATAGGTGACAGGGAAAATGACACAATCAAATCTGTGTTTTACATAGATAAGTTACCCCAGCAAGAGATGGAATAGCTGGGCGCAGCGTGAGGGTACTGAGTAAAGCAGGAGATCCAATTATTACATCATTATAATAAATCAGTCAGGATAGAGAGGATGAGGTTATGAGCTAAGGCAGAGAGAGTCGAAATAAAAACAAGAGGATGGATTCGAGAGAGTTTTAGAGGTCCTGTTGAACAGGATTGGCTGATTAATTGTGGATGGATGGTGAGGAAGGAGGCACCAAGCTTACGGACAGCAATAGCTGACATGTGTCATCCAATGCTTACTCTGCATGAGGAATTGTATTATTATCCAAATTCTAAAGGTGAGGAAGTTGAAGCCTGGAGTGGTCAAAGTGCCATAGCTGGTATGTGGTGATACCAAGTGATGGAGTTAGGATTTGAACCGAAGGGAATCAGCACCTTTATTCACTATGCAGTAACTGAACAGCAAACTGGTTCATCAGTGTCAAGTGATTGGGGATGAAGTGACCGCCCTAGAAAGCACTTAGGGAGGGGTAGATTCAGGCCTGGAACCCATTAGAACCACCTTCTGCTCCCGAGAGCTCACGATCACACTGCCTGGGCGCTATATTAGGCCATAGATGTGTTACGTCTGGCTCATAGAGTATTTTTATTTTTTATTTATTTTTATTTTTATTTTTTTAAAAGATGACCGGTGAGGGGATCTTAACCCTTGACTTGGTATTGTCAGCACCACGCTCAGCCAGTGAGCGAAACAGCCACCCCTATATAGGATCTGAAACCGTGGCCTTGGTTTTATCAACACCACACTCTCCCAAGTGAGCCACGGGCTGGCCCCAATTTGCTTGAATTTTGAGCTGTGTACTTGGACATATTATAAGGAAGCTTTGGCGGGGAGTGTGTGTATGTGTGCATGTACGTGTGTATGTTGGGAAGGGGTGGACCATAGCTTATGAGGCTTGGAATTTTCTATAGAAATTCAGTTTCAGAACATTTTCAGGAAGTTTTATAATTTATTAAAGGTTGAAGACATGTTTCTGTGCCATTGAGTTAAAATGTGAGGCTTGGCAAACAAGTATTTGTGTTAAATATTTTGTTCCATTTAAGATGTAACAATAATCCCCAGTGGCTGTGGTCAGGTTGGACAAGTGACCATATTTCATGTTTGTATGAATTTGTTTGCAATGTATAAACTGCCCTTAGAGATATAGATTCAAACAGCTGCAAGAAGTAGAGCTGACACTAGAGCTGTAGGACTTTGACTCCTAATCTGTGTTCTTTGTGCTACACCCAACAGTTTTCCATCATGCCTGGCTGCCTGATTCAGGAGCTGGAGGAAAGCGGCCTCTGCTGCTGGGCACAAATTTCTCAGAGGCCACCAGGCACCATTCTGGAGTACTACTGGGTCTCAGAGTTCATTGTCCGTCCCGCAAGGATTATCCATCCTGTCAGACTACGCTGACCAAACTAGTGAGAGGCCAGCCCTATGATCTTTCCCCTGGGAATAAGAATTTGTCGTGCAAGGTTCACGCTGCAGGTCAGTTTGGTCTCGAGAGTCATTTCTTCAAAGATTACATGGGGCTTGCAAGACCACGCTCTGCTGCTGCATGGACTCTGACCCCTGCCCAGCACATTCTCCTTCCTCCTTCCTCTCCTCCTCAGAGACTCCCTACCCCCCATGTGCACACTTAGGGTGGGAACTGGATATGTGCTGTGGCCAGTTCTGTTCTTGTCCATATTACTCAGAATTCATTGTTTCTTATTGATATGAACAAGTGCCTGATACTGCACGTTTATCATAGCACTGAGAGCTAGGGATACAACAGACAGGTGCCCTTCCCTCGGGGACAAGAGGAGTACACGCAGGGAATAATTAGTGAGCTTGGTAGCACTTGGTTACAGTCTTCCAACAACTGGTATTTTATCTCAGTCACATTATAATTTCAGTTTTTTTGTGCCATGGACTAAAAAGCCTAGGCTCCCCAAAAGATCTGGCTGAGTTCATGGTAAAGTTCTCTACTTATTCATGTAACAAATATTTATCAAGCACCTGTTATTTGTCAGGTACATTCCAGATGTCAGGATTATAGCAGAAAACAAAACTGACAAATAGACCTGTTATCTTGGAGTTTACATTATTGTGGAAAGACAAAAAACCATAACCCTTGTGAACATGTTCTGAGAATTTTGAAGAAAAATCAAGCAGGGTAATGATGGGGGTAGGTGGGCTGCTTTTTTTAGGAAGCCTTTTCTGATGAGGTCACTCTGAAAGCAGAGCCCAGAGGAGGTGAGGGGGAAGTGCCGGGTGACTGTTTGGGGGAAGTCCTTCCCAGGCAGGGGAGCAGCAAGGGCAGAGCCTCTGAGAGGGGAGTGTGCTTGGCTTGTCTACAGAATAGGAAGTCACTAACCGATCTGCAATCCTCACTTTTCTTTGTCTGCAAGTCCACAGGCTTGTTGGAAGGAACAAATGAAATCATTTATGTGGGGCGGCCCGGTGGCGCACTGCTGTAGTGTGCCGATTGGGAAGTGCGGTGGCGCTCCCGCCGAGGGTTCGGATCCCACATACAGACCGAGGTGCGGGAGCAACACTGAGGGTTGCGATCCCATTGCTGGTCCCGGTCCGGTACGGGCACGACACTGAGGGTTGCGATCCGTTGCTGGTCACAAAAAAAGACAAAAAGGAAAAAAAAAAAAAAAAAGAAAGAAATCATTTATGTGAAAACATTTATGTAAACTATCAAGTACTGTATAGAAGTTATTCTCTTTATGTTGACTTTATCAAGTATTTGTAGAGTGTCGAAATCATAAAGGATCATAATTATTATAATTCTACCATTAAATTTTTTTATTATTGAGGTGAAATTCACATAACATATAATTAACCATTTAAAAGTGTACAATTCAGTGGCATTTAGTGCATTCACAATGTTGTGCAACCACCACCTCTCTCTAGTTTCAAAACTTTTCATCACCCCTGCCCTTTCAATTTTAGTGTTAATTTATGTTACCACTCTTGAAGTAGGATTTTTTTTTCCATATCCGACTTTGTCCTTTCTGCTTCTGGCTGGCCTCCACCAATTCCTATGATCCACCCATGTGTTTATTCAACAGATACTTACCGAGCACCTACTGTGTAGTAGGCACTATGCTACATAGGTGCTGGGGATACAACAGTGACAATGACAGATAGGTCCCTGCATCCAGGAACTCATAACCTAGAAGGGGATTTAGACACTGAACAGCTAATTGCCAGAAAATTAATTTCCTTGGAAAAGAATGCTTTGAAAATCATGTTAAAAACATTTTGGAGGCCGGCCCGTGGCTCAGTCGGTAGAGTGCGGTGCTGATAACACCAAGGCCACGGGTTCGGATCCCATATAGGAATGGCCGTTTTGCTCACTGGCTGAGCGTGGTGCTGACAACACCAAGCCAAGGGTTGAGATCCCCTTACCGGTCATCTTTTAAATAAAAAAAATTAAAAAAAACATTTTGGAAGTTATGAAAACTACTAGAAGAGATATGCCACTCTTAGAATAACATGAGTATGTTGTTTTCATAATTGTGCTCTTAGTTCAGAGACACTGGAGAGAAAAATCACCTCAGGGAAGTGAACTGGATTATGTTATGGCACAAGTAGGTAGGCAGGCAGAGGTGAAAACAGAGTTATTCATTTGATCCCAATATCAACCCTTTGAAGTATGGAAGGATTGATATTATTACATCACTCCCATTCTATAGATGTGGAAACTGAGGCTTGGAAGGTTGTGCCTTGCCTAATGCCACCTAGCAGGACTTACATCTAATATTTCGCTTTAGCCAACTGTCGGATGAAGCTGAAAAGCATTTGTCCAACAGAGGGCAGCCATGCACCTGGCTGGGAGAAGACCTGCTGGCACACACAGGTTTGGTCCAGCGTCCCAAGGTGCACTCCCAGCCTTCCAGGAGAGGGCACTGCTAAGCTGGCCTTGGGTCAGCCCACCAGACCTCCCCCCACCCGTCGCCTTGCCCTCCACCCCCATAGGGACTTCCAGACGCAGACTCGTGACCTAGCAAGCTCTCAGCTCCCCCAGGCTTTTTCTTGCACATTAATGTGTGCTTCCGTGTTTTCCTAGATGATTGTTTCTTCATCAAGCTGTGGAATAACAAATCAGGGCAAGTAACCCAAGTCACCTCAAGTGATGAGCTGGTGATCACCAGCAAGTAGGTACTGCCTGGAGTGGGGAGCCACGCACACTGCTGTCGCAGCCCTTAGGGCCGCACGTCCCTCATGTAGGCACGACCTTGAGTTTCTTTAGGCAGGATGACCTGGCAGCATTTCCACCCCACCCACAGCTAGTTTCGCTTTCCTAATGTTGTTAAAAAGTGACTTCTAACTGAAGTAGGGTGGTTGAACAGGTTTCAGCATTTTACTTAAAATTTTTATGTGATCATCTGTTTAAGATCTCTTCCTTCTGGTAGGTCTCTTTCCTTTTCTCTCAAGAAGATGCCCAGAACCGTCCTCTTTGGCATTGTCTAAAGTCCAGGTTCTAATAGCTTTTGGACTGTGGTTTAATTTTAACCAGAAAGACTTTTTGGAATGATTACTAGTTAATCCGGAATGGGCCAGTTTGATACAGGGCCATAAACACCTCCTGTCTGGAATAAGTAGGTGAAGTTATGTTCATTTACTGCTAACATATCTCTTTTTGAAAGGGGAGACTGATTTGGGAGGAAGAAAATGAAAATGAAAACTGTATGGATAGATCAGAATGGAAGACTGTTTGATTGTCTGCTTTAATTCATTTAATGAACTCGGGTGCCTAAGGAAAGCAGGCTGTAAAAGAATTGAGGGAAGGGGCCCCCTGGGTGTGGCAGAGAATGGCCTCTCATCAGAGCTGTCCTGTGGACAACTTTTTCTGGGACGATCTCAGTTTCTGGGACAGAAGACACACTGGCCCTTTGTGAGATCATGCATCAGACTGCCACCAGTTCTCAGTTCTGAAAATATGGTCACTGGAGAGGCCTGTCAGCAGCCACAGGTGTCATATCTTTAGGAACCACCGACCCAGGCAGTGAGGTGGAGTTGGGGTCCCCAGAACTCCCTGTGCTCATCTGAATATTTCCAATTCTTCTTCTTCCCTTATAATGCAAGTCGTTTGGTAATAATTACTTGTAGAACCTAAAGAATTTTTGATGCTGCAGGACAGAAATTGGTTATTTTTTGCAGTTTCGGTGGTAAACTTCTTTGACAATAGAAGAAAATAAAATCAAAAATGAAGGGCCAGCCCGTGGCTCACTTGGGGGAGTGTGGTGCTGAGAACACCAAGGCCCCGAGTTCAGATCCTATATAGGGATGGCCGGTTGGCTCACTGGCTGAGCGTGGTGCTGACAACACCAAGCCAAGGGTTAAGACCCCCTTACCAGTCATCTTTTAAGAAAAAAGAAAATCAAAGATGAGAGGAAAATTGGATATGTGATGGAGACCAATTCTAGTTGTAAAGCTAGGGCTTACAGACCCCTCGAGTCTGTTGCACAGATTGGGTTACAAACCCTCCACACGCAGGTCTGTGAGCTAGGTAATAGGAAAAAAAAAAAGGCTTGGGGAGCCGTGGGTATAGAATAATGAATGGGTTTTATTCAGATCTAGGAACAACTGTCCTAGTGGCTTCTCTGAGAGTTCTGAGAAGCGCTGTGGATCAGGGCTGTTAGTCTTATACTTAAGTCCACAACCCTGGACACCTGAGTGCTCATACACAATTTACGTTACGTAGTAACAAGGAACACCTGAGGATATTTACAGCAAATGCTCGGCAAGATTCTGAACATCTGAGGGGCCCTGACATTTTCCTATTTTTCCCAACAATCCACTCCTTCAGAGTCCCTCGCCGTACAATCTACATGCTCAGAATCTTCTGTGATGTTCCCTTAGCTAGGATAAGTGACTCTTACATTCATACAACCTATCATCTGTCCAATATGCCTTAAGGCTTGTCCTTAAGGTTTGTCCTGTAGTTTTGTTCTTTCAATTGTTAGCCGCACATGTCTGGCTAGTAGTCATCATTGGTATGAAGTTCAGTGTATATTCAATAAGCCAACGCATTGGTCACACTAATGTATGTCTGTATCCAGTTGACTCTGGTGCCCACAGCCAGAACACTATGGGCGAAAGGACAGAAGGGTTATTGGTACCAATAGGGGGAGTTCTCACCCCTCTGGTAAAATACATGTTAGTTTGCCATCCTGGGAAAGGATGATTGCAGGAATAGGTATCTTACCTGGTTTATGATACC